GTGAGGGCTAGAAGAAACTTAATGAAAGTTTAGGGACCAATCAGCAGGTTGGCCTTTGGGAGTCAGCAGCTTTCCAAGGGGCCGAAATAAATACACAATACAACACAATCCCGGTATCTTGTAACAGAACACCCTGACCGACAAGCTCCATTCCACAGAGAGATGGATGTGCGCCATGCTGCCTGGGCAGGATTAGTAGCAGAGCAATTCTTTAAGTATTTAGGAGGACATTAATCTAGACGCCGAGGGAACTGGTATAAGACCCTCCACATCACATCAGCCCCTCCACTGTCCCTGTACAGAAGGGCAGGGGCGCCCAAGAGGACTCTACAGCATGGCGGGTGGTTGCTTTAGAGGAAGATCCACACACAACAATCCTGTGACTGTGCAGGTGCCACAGAAGGCCCAGACAGCCCTAGAGGGTGTATTCAATACGCTCCTCGCCGAGCTCTCCTACACAGCCTGAGTGGAGATGGGTGTTAACAGCTCCCTGAGCCACTGGGTAATTTGCCGGTGTTGGGCATTTGCTCCTGCTGGAGTCACTAGGTCAGACGCTGGCTGCCCAGAAAGCAGGGCATGTTACAGTGACTAGAAACCAATAGTCGGCACAAGTGGCATACATACATGGCACTGCGCCACTTGGACCATCCGAATAATCTGTTGCTTGAACAGACACTTCTTCCGTTGCAATCCTGACAGACCCAGCTCTGCCACCCTTCCCGGAGGTGAACGTTTCTCTGAGCGGCCCCTGGGAAATCAGCGGTGCTAGTCGCCCGGGACTGGGGCATTCGAGGTGAGCACAGGCGGCAAGATCAGGCCTCCACCGATCATAACGGTCTCTGCCACGCGTCTCTGCCGACGGTACCATAGGGTAGCTAGCTGCCCTTCGGGAAAGCTGCCCGGGAGGCTTGCCTCATGGCTGGGACAACAGAGCAGAGGTGAAGCCAAAGAGGGAAAGACAAATTCAGGGCTTTGAGATGCCAATAAAAGCAAAAAGCTACTTTCATTCCTTTCTTCCGGCACATCCCTTTCATGATTTGTCCACCCTGCCAGGAGATCAAAGGCACTGCCAAGCTCCCGAAGCACTGACAAGCTTTGATCACAAAAACTCGGCGCCACACTTGGCTACTCCCAGCTTCTTCACAAAGACCTTCCCTCCAACTACACCCCAAGTTTCTGTGCATCTCCTCCAGCCCACCTGTTTCCCTGCCTCTCCAGCTCCCACACCCTGAGCTACCCCACTGCCCCCCAAGCCACTGGCTACCCATGGTATTGCTGCAGTCCTCAGCCTGTCCCATGGCTACATACCAAACGGGAGGAGAGTTCATTCATTCCGAGTTAGTGGAGCAGAGACTGATCTTATAAACACTCCCATAATTGAACAGCCACTGACCAGAAGAAAATATATTGCCTCTGAGCTCACGCCAGAGAGTGTCAGTTCAAAAAAACCCAAAGTTTTTGAGCATGAACCAACAGCAGGAGATCAGAATGCCAAGTTAACTAGAGCTTTCCCTGTCATGTGGCAAGAGCTACAAAGCTAAGACAGGCAGGATTTCCAAGGGTGTCCAATCAGGCCTTTGACTGCTAATCGTCTTGAACGTCGAATTCTTCAAGATCTTTGCTTCTGCCCTTCCATACTGATTTTTGGGTGAAGTGATTTGCTCAGCAGTGTGAGCAATTAAGTGCTGCCCCTCTGGCTAGTCGCACGGCCTACCCACTGTATAGCTAGGGATGTGAGAGTAGTCGAGTGCTCGTCTACCCGATAAGTCTAGGTTTATTGGGTCGTCAGTCGAGTACTCGACTACGCTACTTCCATTCTGCCCACCTCCCACCGCAAGGGCCTGGTCTGAGCCAGCTGCTCAGGGCGCGGCTCCACTCTCTGCCCGTCCCATGCGCCAGGCTGGCACTGCTTTCCCAGGAGGCCAGGTCATGCATGGCAGACGGGGAAGGGGCCAGAGCTGCTGGGGCTGGGCCAGGAGCCGAGGACTGAAGCCCGGGCAGGCAGAGCATAGCAGCCAGGTGAGCTCAGTGTTCCCAGGCTGGGCTCAGGGAGATGCCAGCTCACTGCACTGGGTGGCCTGGCGGCGGAGTCTCCTGTGGCGAGACGAGCCGATGCTGCCGGCGGCGCTGGGCGGAGCTCTAGGCTGGGCTGGCGGTGCTCAGAGCTGCATGTGGGCTAGGCAGGCGGGGGCAGCACCTCTGGCCAGGCTAGCTGCTTGGGAAGCCCGGCCGCGCCCTGTGGGCACCGGGGAGGAGGCTCCGGCAGCTGAGCTGGCGTGGCTGGGCTCGTTGCTTGGCTGGAGTGAGCCCAGGCTGTGCACCCACCGGGCTCAGGGACAAGGCCTGGAGCTTGTCCGGCGCCAGGGCTTTGTCCCAGGCGGGCGCTACGTGGCTTGGCCTGGGCATGCCACAATCCGAATGGGCAGAGCAAGGCGAGCAGGGTTCTGCGGGTACAGGCAGCATTTGTGTTGTGCCCCAGCCTCCACTGTCTGCCCGCCCTGACCCTGTGATTCCCGGCTGGGCTCTGCCTGTCCCCTGCTCCCTGCCCCATCTGCACAGTGCCTGGCTGCTGCTCCCCGACGCGTCAGGCAGCCAATGCGCAGCCCCCACCAGGGAGGAGCCCTTGCCCCAAAATGGCTTTGGCTTCGCTCTGTGGGGCTGCAGGCGCCAATAGGCAGGTCAAGTGCCCCACTGCTGACCCAGTGCTGCCTTCCCGGAGCCCGGTCAGTCCCCCGGGGTTGGCTTCCTCTCCCAGCTTCGGGATGTGCATGGTGGGCAGGCACGTGCCGAGGGCCCCCCAAGCCACCAGGGACTAGAGGGAAGACCGGGGGGGGGGGGGGAAGAGGGGGGAGAGAGGAGGGGGTTAAATGAGATGCGCTGGTTAAATGATTGACCAACAGTGTGGTCAATAGAAATTCTATTGACGACATGATTAGCTGATTACTCATTTCATAACATCCCTAGGTGTAGCAGCAATTAAAGGACACAGAATGTGCTTGAAGAAAGAATTTTGATACTGGAAGAAAGGGAAAAAAGAAAGGGCAAGAGACTTTGAAATGCCAAGCAACATTTAAAGCAAGTGCATGATGGTGTCTCAAAGTGTTCTTGTGTGATCAGTTTGCAAGTGCTCATGGCAAGGTTCACATCTGGATTTTTGTCTTGCATAATGCTGTGCTAAGTGACTGTAGCAATAATAGTTTTATATCCAGAAATACTCTCCTGCCTGAATGCACGTTGGGGAGGTGCAATTACAGTGTATGTATAGAATGCTTAATTGCATCACAATGCAAAGTCCTTAGCCTTGAAAAATGTTTCCGTCCATAGTAGATAGGATTCACCTACCAAGCACCCTACAGCATAATACAGTGCCTGTCAGGGCCAAACACAGGAGGTGTCAGTAACAAAGTTAGCAGGGATCCAGATTTGTTGAAAAAAAAAAAAAAAAAGATACTGAATTGACACTGGGGCTGGAATTTTCAAAGGAAAATAAAGGAGTCAGGCATCTAGTGCTCACTGGAATTCACTCAGGTTCCTTTGAAAAATGCAGCAAAACTACACAGAAGCATTGTTCATCTTCAGTTGAATTACTGTAGCAGACTCACAGCTCAGCCTGACATGACAGCAACAACAAAATGGGAAGAAGTGGCTTGGCAGTAGTACTGCTGAAAAGGATCTGGAGATTAGAGCGGATCACAGATTGAATAGGAGATAATGTGAGGCAGTTGTGAAAAAGGCTAAAATCATTTGTGGTGATTTAATAGGAGTGTCATATGTAAGAGATGGGAGCGAAATGTCTCACTCTACTTGGCAATTGTAGGTTTCAGCACAAGTCCTGCATCCAATTCTGGGTGCTACAAAAGTTGTGGATACACTGGAGAGTCTCCAGAGGAAACAATATTAATGATAAAGATTTTTAAAATCTGTTCTCTGGCAGACATGATTAGCTCTGACAAAAGACGACTGAGGGGAGACCTGATAAGTCTTCAAATAAGTTAAGGGCTGTTAAAGAGGACGGTGCCCAATTGCTCTTCACGTCCACTGAACACAGGACAAGAAAGGACTTTGTTGGCAAGAAGGGAAACGTAGATTACATCAAAGGAACATCTCTCTATAAGGGTACGTCTAAACTACACCCCTTTTTTGATAAAGGGATGTAAAATTAGATGCATCTAAAGTGCAAATGAAATGGGGATTTAAATGTCCCATGCTGCATTTGCATAATGGCAGCTGCCACTTCATTTTGAAATGGGGCTTTTTTTAAAAAAAAGGCAGTTTAGACGGGGCATTTTCGAAAGAAATGCCCCATTTGAAAGATCCTGTACCTCAAAAAATGAGTACAGGATCTTTTGAAAGGGGGCATTTCTGTCAAAAATGCCCCATCTAAACTGCCGAGCTTTTCTTCTTCGAAAAAGCCCCATTTCGAAAAAAAGCAGCGGCCGCCATTATGCAAATGAAGTGCAGGAAATTCAAATCCAGCTTCATTTTCACATTCAATATGTCTAATTTACATCCCTTTATCAAAAAAAGGATGTAGTCTAGACATACCTTAAGGGTACCCAACTCTGGAATAAGCTCCCAAGAAAGGTAATAGAATTCCCGTTTCTGGAGGTTTTTAAGAACAGGTTGGACAAACATCTTAGAGATACTCTTAAGTTTCCTTGGTCCTGCTTCAGGACCAGCTTCTTGAGGTCCCTTCCAACCTTACATTTCTATGAGTAACCTGACATAAGGGGGAACACAAATCAAACTGCATGTTGCACAGTGTGCTAGGACATTCGGCTACTTTCTCTATGTGCATGCGTGTGCATACATACTCCTTTGTTAACACTCACACAGACCGGAGGCAGGAAACGTACTGAGTGGAAAAGGAGGCAGAATTTAGCATGGATTCGAGGACAGTAATCATATTCTGAAGCCTAACGGTTGATTACATCATAACTACATTTCAAACACTTGTTTATTCTGCATGTACCAGAGAAAGAAATTATAAAAATACTTACAGCAGCCATTGAACTTAGCTGATCAATGTAAAACTCAGGCCAGCTGGTGGCTCCTTTATTTTCTTCCTGGTCCTGAAAAACAAAACAAAAAAGCCATTAGAAGAAATAAGATTTATTTTCCTCATTTTTTTACAACAGCCATGTATGAAGACTGAATACACAGCACACAATCCCATTGTTATCCAAGTTTGATTTAGAAAGGACTAGATGGTCAAAGTGGTCTTTTCTGGTCTTCAAGCTATGAGATTTGAATTGAAGTTTATTATGTGATCTTTTTAAACCAAAAGCTCAATGGGCCAAAATGCAATCTGCGTTACAATGTCTGCTTTTAACTAAACATTGCCAGTTAAATGGGGCAATCTTCTTGTGTTACAATGTCTGCTTTTAACTAAACATTGCCCCATTTAACTGTGGCAATCTTCCACTTCCAAGGTCCTCGGAGAGGAACTTTGAAACTCTAAACCCAGGTTCTGCAAAACTGGCAAATTGCCTCTGTTGAAAGTTTTGGACTGTGTAGCTTTGCTGAATGCATTGAGGCTGCTTTTGATGTAGTCTGCTACAACTGACGCAGAGTAAATCAATCCAATATTAACCATATTTTGCTCTTTCAGGAAGTAGTTATCACTGACCACAACAGGCCACTAGACACTTTGCCATAGACTCTTAACTGTAAGTAATTTGTCACTAGATATTAGACGGTAATGACTGTTCAAACTAGAGATGCTTTCAAGGGCTTTTGACTTTTCACACCATGCTCCATCAGTTGCAAGTGGTCACCCACAGACATGCTGCAGGAACCTTCGCCCACCACCCCCCGTCCCGTGTGGAAAGACAGTGGATAGGGCACTCCATGCTTGGATGGAAGTAATAAATGTGTAGAAAAAGGCTCCTAACACCCTCCTTTAAACAACTGCTGATTCCTGCCTTTTGGTTTGTTCTCAAGGGGCTGAAAACCATTGAGCTGCGCTGCATAATTTAGTCCAGCTCTCTCAGTTGGAGATTACGACATGCTGGGTGGAACACACCAGATAGCTTTTCAGGCTCTCCTGTATTTTTGTACGAGTCACTTGGAAGAGATCAAATTTACATTGGTGACACAGCATAGCAAGGAAGTGTGCGAGGCAGGACAATGAAGCTGTTTACAAGCTCAGAAACAAGCTCCCACGCTATGTTTCCTCAAACAAGCTTCCATATTTGTTTTCTCTTTTGAGACCTGCAAAATGCTCTCCACACAAGTGAAAGTTCACTCTTTATTCTCAAGGCAACGTGAACCAACAGTCTGGATAGCGTTTGGTTATAGGAAATTATATGGTAGGAGGCGGCACAGGATGCATATGTAGGCCAGACAACTGAAAATCTCCGATCAAGGACAGGAGAGGCATATGCACCTGCATGTGCATTGGAACACTGCTAGAAGAACAACCTGTTTTTACAGCATTTGCAGCACACTAGATCCCCTGACACCAGTCAGTCGCTTAAAGCAACAAGGCTAGAGTACGAGCATATTCCTGTATGCTCTGGGGAATAGTTACAGCAGTGTTTGTAACACAACCACCCATGTTCCATTACCGTTAGGCTGTGGCTCAGACTTACAAAAGCAATTCACGCTGTAGCACCATTAAGTTTTGTTGACTCATCTTGGTGCGCCCAGTTAAAACACACATTTAGCTAGTCCCCATGTAATCGATCCTGCTTTAGCTGCCAGCAAGGATTTGAACCCAAGACCTCCCGCATTCAAAGCGCAAGTTTCTATTAGGGATGTGATAGTGTAAACATGCAAACAGTTAACCGATGATCCTGGGCTCATCAGTTAACCTTCAGGGTTACACACAGTCCTCCCACCTCTTCCCCCCCTCCCCCGCCCCCCATCTATCAGAGGAAGCACCTGGGGAGGGGGGGGCGTGGAAGGGAGGTAGGAGCCATTATGCACAGGATAAGCTGGCTCCCTGCAAGCACTGACTCCCCTAGAGCCTCCCCCGGCATGTAAATGTGTAACCTCTGAACATTTCAGCAGCTACACGTTTACCAAAATAAACACATTTTAGCACCCTTAGCTGTAGCACAAGTGATAGTGGCTAATTCATGTAGCTGGCAAGTGCAGTACATATGTTATCCTCTTATATGGGCCTGCCCCTAGAGGGGGACAAAGACCCATATTGTCCTACTACCAGACACTCTCTCAGCCCCCCCCACCCATCCTTGCAAAAACCAGGATGTTTCTGGGACTGCAAAGATAACATTTCATTTGTGTCTGGCTTCAGAAATGTTTTGTTCCCCTCCCACAGACGGAACAACTGTTCAATTCTATAGGCAGTTTACCACATTGCCAGCCAGATTTCAAGAGACAAAATTCCTATTTTTGCTCCAGCGCTTAAATCTGGATGCTACTTTAACAAAAAAGCCAAACAAAAAAAATCAAACCTTTCCCCCTAACTGAACTGTTTCAACCTAGCAGAAGGATTTGTAACAGAAATCCCCATTCAGCTTTAATAC